ACATGAGGGTTTTGGCAGTCTCCAATAAATTAATCCTTTTTATTATATCAATGACAGGAAGATGATCAAATAGGCTTTGATATAGATTTGGGGATTTAGCACCTAGTAGCGCTCTGACATGCTTGAACTTCCTCCTGCTGCTGCTGCTGCTGGAGGCAAGAACGGGGCTACAAACGGCGTCTGCTGCGAGCCGCTCCCCGGCGAGCGGGGCCCGCACGCACGGCCACGGGCGCCGGGGACACTTTGAAGAAAAGTTTGTCTTCAGGATTTGTTGGGTAAGTTGGGTTTCCGGAGGGCACGAAAAGGAGAGGAGAGGTGTGAGAGCAGGGGCACATGAGCTGATGAGGCACAGCCACCAGAGCCAGGACCGAGCTCCGCGCCCCGCCTGGGCCGAGCTCCGCGCTCTGCCAGGCCCGAGCTCCGCGCTCTGCCGGGCCCGAGCTCCGCGCTCTGCCGGGACCGAGCTTCGCGTCCTGCCGGGCCCGAGCTCCGCACCCCACCGAGACTATGCTCCGCGCTCTGCCGGGCCCGAGCTCCGCGTCCTGCCGGGACCGAGCTCCGCGTTCTGCTGGGCCCGAGCTCCGTGTCCTGCCGGGCCCGAGCTCCGCGCTCTGCCGGGCCCGAGCTCCGCGCTCTGCCGGGCCCGAGCTCCGCACCCCACCGAGACTATGCTCCGCGCTCTGCCGGGCCCGAGCTCCGCGTCCTGCCGGGACCGAGCTCCGCGTTCTGCTGGGCCCGAGCTCCGTGTCCTGCCGGGCCCGAGCTCCGCGCTCTGCCGGGACCGAGCTCCGCGCCCTGCCGGGACCGAGCTCCGCGCCCTACCGGGCCCGAGCTCCGCGCTCCGCCAGGCCCGAGCTCCGCGCTCTGCCGGGCCCGAGCTCCGCGCTCTGCCGGGCCCGAGCTCCGCGCTCTGCCGGGCCCGAGCTCCGCACCCCACCGAGACTATGCTCCGCGCTCTGCCGGGCCCGAGCTCCGCGTCCTGCCGGGACCGAGCTCCGCGTTCTGCTGGGCCCGAGCTCCGTGTCCTGCCGGGCCCGAGCTCCGCGCTCTGCCGGGACCGAGCTCCGCGCCCTGCCGGGACCGAGCTCCGCGCCCTACCGGGCCCGAGCTCCGCGCTCCGCCAGGCCCGAGCTCCGCGCTCTGCCGGGCCCGAGCTCCGCGCTCTGCCGGGCCCGAGCTCCGCGCTCTGCCGGGCCCGAGCTCCGCACCCCACCGAGACTATGCTCCGCGCTCTGCCGGGCCCGAGCTCCGCGTCCTGCCGGGACCGAGCTCCGCGTTCTGCCGGGCCCGAGCTCCGCGCTCTGCCGGGCCCGAGCTCCGCGCTCTGCCGGGACCGAGCTCCGCGCCCTGCCGGGACCGAGCTCCGCGCCCTACCGGGCCCGAGCTCCGCGCTCCGCCAGGCCCGAGCTCCGCGCTCTGCCGGGCCCGAGCTCCGCGCTCTGCCGGGGCTCTCCTTTGTCCAGAGCCCGTGCAAACCTTGCCATGCTGAGCCCAGGGCTCTGCTGGCACTGCAGGAGCCCTGGCACAGCCGTGCCGGTGCCCCACGTGGCAGGGATGGTCTCCCAGGTACTGCCGGGACACAGTGGCTCGGCTCAGCAAGGATCGTAATGCCAGCTCCATCCTTCCGCTGTCCCAGCTGCAGGAAGGAGCAGCAGCTTTGTGATTCAGGGGAAATGAATTGGGTGGCAGACAGATGGCCCGGGGTGCCCACAGGAGGTGAGGGGCCCCATGTCCCACCGGGAAGGCCTGGAGACTGGTTCAGCTACTGTGCCATCCCAGGTACCCCCCTCCTCCCTGGGCATGATGGCCCAGCATCTGATGCACACAGAACCTTCTCCAGCCCCTGCAACCAAGGAAAGGATCATTGGGTGGGAATTCTAATCATATATTATATTACCATGTCATATTAGACTAATAAAACCCTAATATGATACAGGAATGGGGAGCATATCATAACTCCTCTGTGACTAATACAATGCAGGCAATAAATCACTCCAGGGCTTATCCTTAACAATTGTATCAGAGCTTTCTGTGTCACACTGATAACTCAGTCCCTCTGATCTAATGGTTCACTTTTCTTCACAGTCCATATGGCAGTGACATTAAAGCTAATGAAATAAAATAAAATTTGCCAATCTTTGAAGAATTCCATTCTTTAAAAAAGATGTATTTTATTAACACAAACTGGAAACATCTTCAGTTACTCGCAGTTCCTTTTATCACATTGGAAATACATGGCACAGATAGTGGCAGTGGCACTGCACCTCGGCTCACGTGTGGTCAGGACATTGCTGCAGGATCACTGAGCTCAGCCTCACACACGTGGTGCCCAGCCAGCAGAGCTGCCCCCACTGACCCAGCCCCGCGGGGCACGCATCCTGCCGTGCCCCAAGGTCTCCCCAGGGCTCAGGATCCCTCGTTGCCTCTGAGCCCGGACACACAGGGAGCTGGGCACAGCCGGAGCCGGACACAGCGGGAGCCGGGCACAGCCAGAGCCGGGCACAGCCAGAGCCGGGCACAGCCAGAGCCAGGCACAGCCAGAGCTGGGCACAGCCGGAGCTGGGCACAGCCAGAGCCGGGCACAGCCAGAGCCGGGCACAGCCGGAGCCGGGCACAGCCGGAGCTGGGCACAGCCAGAGCCGGGCACAGCCGGAGCTGGGCACAGCGGGAGCCGGGCACAGCGGGAGCCGGGCACAGCCAGAGCCGGACACAGCCAGAGCCGGGCACAGCGGGAGCCGGGCACAGCCGGAGCCGGGCACAGCCAGAGCTGGGCACAGCCGGAGCCGGGCACAGCCGGAGCCGGGCACAGCCGGAGCTGGGCACAGCCGGAGCTGGGCACAGCTGGAGCTGGGCACAGCCGGAGCTGGGCACAGCCGGAGCCGGGCACAGCCGGAGCTGGGCACAGCCGGAGCTTGCCGCCTGCTCCACCGCCAGCAGAGGAAGGTTCGCTGTTCTCGGGGGCTCTGGGGCTGCTCCCACAGCTCAGCAGGTCACAAACCAGAGGCATCGTGTGTCCCCAGCTGCTGGGCTTCTCAAGCTCCTCCTGCAGGACAGCCCGGAGCCGTCCCCACGGTCCCCACGGTCCCCATGGCACAGCAGGTCAGACGGAGCTGGGGCTGGTCCCAGAAGTGGCTGTCGAGCCCTGCCCAGGGAGCAGTGTGGGTCTCTCCTCCAGACACCCTCGTGCCTGTCCCAGGATGGATGCCTTAGTCAGGTCAGTGCCGAGCACAGGAGATGGCGATTCCTGGGACCTGCTGCAAATCCTTTTGGTCCTGCTGTGCTCCACACAGGGTCTGGGGCTGGCACCTCCCATGGCTGGTGGGCTCCTGCTGCAGGGTTCTCGTGTGCCCAAAGCTCAAACGTGGGCGCAGGGAATCGGGATGGTGCTGCTGAGCTGGCAGGGTGGGAGGCTGAGGCTGTCCTCCCTCGCTGCTCCTGCGAGGCTCCTTCAGGGTGTAGCTACTGGGTGAAACACAATATACCATCAGCAGCTTGATCCTAGTACTGGTGCTGGCAGTAAACCTCCCTGATGCGTGATCAGGCCTCAAGGATAAGATGTTTATTATTTGCCGTAGAACCACGTGGCTGCTCTCCAACGTAAGGAAAAGCCAAATTGCACTTGTAATTCAAAGGGACCCAAAGCCTTAATGCTGCAAAGCAGCAGCTAATGATGCCCAGCGGGCGTGGGGCACGCAAGGGCGGCCCAAAGGTTGTTGATGGCCTTCCTATGAACCTCCTCAGTGTGTGACAGGTCCTTGCCTGTGGCCAGCAGAGATGTGATCAAGATGAGGGACGTCTGAGTGTTCATTACGCTGCCTACTACGCCTCCGCTGACACACTTTGCATTTAAAATATAAAATACCATTTCCACTGAGCTGTAGCACGAACACCGAGCGTGTGGACTTGGGGAGCTCCATTAGCAAATGCAAATTGTTGGGTGCTTTGTCCTCAGCATACAGAAGTCTTCAGCAGTCCATAGTGCCCACCTGTCCCAGCTCCCCTTAACTGATAACAAAGGTTTTGCAATGCAAGTCTAGCTATTTACTTGTTTATTTACAAGCACCACCTGTGGAAGAAGCAGCGCTGTTCAATTCCAAACCTGATGGAGGTGAGTCTGCTCTGAACAGAGCAGCAGCGGTCACTGCCGTGTGAGAGCGTGGGGTGCAGTGCCGCTGCGGCCCCGGGGACAGTGGGAGAGCAAAGGTACTTTACAAAACACCCTGATACGAGAATTGTTGAGAAAAGCTGAACCACAAGCTCATGAATCATGCAAGTGGCAGTTAAGCCCCCAGAAGAAGCCCTGGAGGCTGGAAGAGCCAAAGGGAAGGGCAGGTGACGGCCCAGCAGCTCCTGAGGCACCGAGCCGGGCTCCAGCCCAGGGCTGGTGCGGTGAGCGCTCGCCTCCTCCTGCCTAGCTGCACTAACCCGAGTAGGGAGTAGTTATATTTATCAAAGACCATTTGCTGCAAGTGATTAACGTTAATTTGATTTCCTGTGAGTCAATTTCCTTGAGATATGGTAAATAGGCTATTACCTGTTATTGACCTTTACTTTATTAAAAAGACTTAAAATTAGCATTTATATATATACGTCCTTCCAAAAAAGTTTTTTTAATAAAGAAAAATATTTTTATAATCGCATTAGACTTGCTAGCTGAGGCTATAGCTCCAAAGTTAATGTTAAATACAAATGGTAATTAAGAGTGAATATGATGATGGTTTTTAAACTCATCTAAAGGCCTGACCCCTTCCTTTACCTCCACTTGATTTGTGGCTCCCAGGCAGAGCAGGGCAGCAGCGGAGGCAGGCGCTGGCAGGTGGAAGCCTTTGCCCAGGATGTGCCTCTCCCAGGATTTCCAATTCCCTCCTGGCAAGAGGGCACAAGGACCTGCTGGTGTTTAAAGAGGTGCTCAGCTCCTGCTCCGTGCCAGCTCGCTCCTCTGGAGACCGATGCATCTCCTCAGGCTGACTTGAACTGAGCAGGAAGAAATTACATCAACGTTTGATCATGAAAGCAAAAAGTTTATTCATGTTTGAAACTACATATAACTACCACGAGGAAGACTTTTCAATCCAGGGTGTAATCCAGTTAGAAAGTAACACGAAACGGTTTAATACATTAGAATCACTGCCACAAATTATTTTCATGACTCAATCAGTTTCAGAATCGCATACAATACAAAAGAGAGAGAAAGGGCCCCTGCAATCCAGGGGGATGTACAGTACTGAATACTGAAGTCTGTATGCATTACAATTAGTTGTTGGTTTTTGCGTGTATTAGTAACAAGATGAAGAACATTCAAAATGCTTCTCAGTATTTACAACAGTTGCACTGTTTTGTGTCCAACCTAAGACCCCATGTTTCCACTTCCGCTTCTTTAGCAGTTGCCAAGGCAACCCTGATTTGTAGGAGATTACAATGTACATTACATTTCGTGGGGAAACAAAGAGTTAATTACAAGATGCAAAAAGATAAGAAAGAGACAAACTACAGCGTGAGTATCGTTCAGAGGTAGTAAGTGAGCACTCTAAGCTACAGAACATGTTGAAAGTCTATTGGTTTGTATGAGTTCGCATGAGGTAATAAAGCTGTGTTTGATTGGTGAGATGTATAAATACTCTTTTGCTACACTATGTACAACACTCCATGTCACGGTGCTCTTTCCTTTCCTTTTCCTTTGTTTGTGGTTTGCTGCCAAGCAGAGGCACCAGCCCTTGGCAGGCGCGGCTAGCACCCAGCTCGTACTGTAAAACCCCGGGTGGTGGCGTGCACAGAGACCAGCAGCAAGAGTCCTCCTCTCCCAAGAGCAACCTGTGTCCGTGTCGGGATTCCGAGGGGAGACTCGGGCTCCGGGGGGGCTTTAGCCAGAAAAGATGCTCCTGGTTTCCAATCTAATTTGTAAGACAATAGATCTCAACAAAAAATGTGACGAATAAGGATTCTTAAACACGACCATTGTTAACCGAAATAACTGAACAGCTCTTTTTATTCCAGCTCCGTGAGAGATATGAAAAGATGAAACACAATCAAAGTCTGTGATTCCTGTCGACTTTCCATGGAAATATGCACACAATTAAATTTGGGTGAGGCGGTTCTTTGTGTCTGCTCTTGCTACTGAGGTTAAGCTTGTCCTGTACTTTTACCCTTAAGGCCAAGTAATTGGCAACTGTTAGACCAACATCATTAAAACTGCTGATAATAAATTATGATAAAATAGTTACAGGGCTATAAACAATGCTAAATCTTGGCCTAATTGGATAAAGTGCTTTTTAACATTGTGTGTTTTAAGTATAAATACAAATGATTATGATACCTTTAAAAAACAGATTTACCAAGTTTTCTAATAAGACAAGGTTTTACAGTAAAGCTGTAGGTGGTTGGCTACAAAAAACTCTTTCCTTTTTCTCCTGCAACTCTGAATGCGCTAATCAAGGCATCTCAGCTCAGGGAAAAAGTGTTGCTAGGAGATTAGTTAGAGGTATCCGAGTGCACACTTCCCGGCCCTTCTGTAGGGGAAGTCACAGAAGATGGAGTGGTTGCG